GCCTCCTACTTACCCTGCCGAGACCCCCAAGGTCCCTGTCCCCCTAGGAGAGCCACCCCGTCTACCCCGCTGAGACTCCCAAGGTCCCCAGCCCTGACACCACCTCTTGCCTGAGCTCCACCACCATCACCGTCACCGTTCCCTACCCCACCGGTACTGGTGTTCCTCCTTCTCCCTACGTTCCTGGCAAGCCTTCCGTCCCTGCTGCTCCTTACCCATCTAAGCCAGTTGGTGGTGCTCCCTACCCATCTGTCCCTGCCGGTACCGGTGTCCCCCCTGCTGCTGGCACTGGATACCCCACCAAGACCGGTGGCTACGTCAAGCCTTCCTCTCCTCCTGAGTTCACCGGTGCCGCCTCTGCTCTCAACGTCGGTGGTTTCGTTGCTGGTGTTGGTGCTTTCGCTGCTTTCTTCTTGTAAATGTCATCTTTTTCAATTAAGCTTGCTACTTAGTAGGCTATGACTTTACATGAGTGCATTGCATAGAGGTTTAGGTCTTCGCTTATAGGCACTCCCTTGGTATCGCAAAGGGTAATTGTAATTAGTTGGGCTCGATTCGTAGCAATTGAACTTGAAACACCGTTTTTTCTCTTCTGACTGATGTCTATGCTTTGTGGCCATCACTCGTGATGTACTAGGAAAACAATCCCAATTGCCATCTGAATTCCATGACCTTTTCAAAATTTCTCCCACAGACCGTTCCACGAGTGAAGACTGAATTCTTCTCGCGGAGAACGACCCTCGTATCACAGAACGAAAGGAAAGCCATGGCATGACTAAACCGTCTGAACTGCAGTCAAAATTTCTCCATCGAACTACCCCCGGACCTCCATTCCAAACGTGGAAACCAAGTGCCCTTGCACGCAAGACCATCAAATTTCCGGTGTTTCCCAATCAAGGCACACCAACCCAGTCACACCTGCTATGCCTGGTGGGTGGCCTCATGCAATCCCTGTTCACCGCAAACCCGCTTCCCACGGGCTCATTTCCCTCTTCGTGCCGTTTTTTAAATCAAAATTATCCACCCTTCCTCCGCACCAAAGGTCTTAGCATGGGGAAACAAGCAACCTTCCCCTTCTACTCTGTACCCGTTTTTTATTTTGCGCAATCGCTCCCCCCCTCCCCCCCCAAAAATAGAGAGATTGGTGGATGGTCTTTGCGTTTTTTCTTTTTGCTCTTCCCGCATTCGCTCATATTAATAGTTTTTTTTCGTGTCTGCATTTGTACATTGTTAATGCAACCAAGTTTTGATTACTATGGTCTTATGTTCTCAATTTTCCTTGCTCGTTAACGGAAGCGAAGGGCCTGTGAGACCCGATGGACTCGGCATTATTATTTGCCCGTCGTCGCAGAGAGTGTCAGATAGCGGCGTATTTATGCATCCGAGAGCCTTTGTGTGCATTAGCCTCGGGTTCGTCTGAAATATCTCACGCGGAAGCTGCGCGCCTCAGGCATGCATGCGTGTGTGACGTTCGTATCTGGTGTAAGGTTCACGATGGAGTAATACTACTCCGCAAATTGCATTATGTTGTTCTTTTCTTTTTGTTCTGTCAGTCCTTTTCTCCCTGCGCACACATGACCGTGCCATCGCTTCCCTTTAATCTATCTAGGTTGCCGCCGGATGCTTCACAAGTCGGGAATAAGGTTTATACAGGCCTATAGTTCATAAAACTGGTGTTTTTTTTTTGTGTTCTTTCGTGCCTTTGTGGCTTAAAAAGACTCACGTAAAGGGGAGTTTGTGGCTTACGGGAAATTGATGGGTGGTGGAATCAGCGGTGCCTGCGCGTTTCACTAGGCGGCGTTGTTGGCGCTTTTGGGTTGAGGATCCGGAGCCGCTACGTACTACGTAAAATGGAGTTTCCGTGTAAGCACTTACGTACGATGTGTGCATCGTACCGGTGGCAATCGACCGGGTGGCGCGTTTGCGGGAGGGAAGGCACGGTCGTGTAGAGATTGAGTTTGTTTTTGTGTGTGTGTGTGTGTGTGGGTATATTAGATTTGCGATGTGTATGAGGACTTGGGAGGTTCTTGCATTTCACGTCCATGTTAATACCAACGATTTCAGTTTTCGCTGCAACTACCTCGAAACTTTTGGATGTCAATTAAGTGGTGTTCTAGTGACTATAGATAACCTCTCAACAATTGGTAGGAAATACGAGGGTACCGAATACCCTTCGCTGCGTGACCAAGGTCCTGCCATACGATTGGGAACATGATTTTCTGTTTAGATCCATTACAACATGATTGCCAGTACAACGTATTGATATGTATTCTATCTTCTGAGAGATGTTTTACGTTGGGGCTATCGCAGTATACCTGTGAGATCTGGTGAATAGAGTGGTGGTGATTTCTCCTCTATCGAACACCCAACGCAAGGCAGAGACGGTACGAAGCATTGATGTCAATATTGGTAACCCACCAACCAGCCTGGAGTAATGAGACTCTACAAAACAGTATCTGCATTGGCTAGGACAGCAACCGGGCCTCTTTAAGATCAAATTGTCGCCCAATCCCTACTGAAAAGTCACAACCCGTCATGAGAATCATCGCGATCCTTTCGGCCTTTGCGGCCACAGCTCTCGCAATACCGTTCGATAATTCAACGGTAGAGCTCACACCGCGGGTTTTCGTCAAAAATCCCAATAGCTGCCCAACCTCCCTCTTTCAACCATATGGCGAATTGCCAAAAACCCGCACCTTCGTGCCCCGAGACGTCTTCCAGATTAGCCAAGCGCGACCTACTGAATTCTTCCTACCCGACGGCTGGGGTACTATAACCGCAAGAGACAAATGCACCGTCTTCAACATACCTTTGGATGCCGACAGAGCCAGAGGCAAAACCTGCAATCTCGTCTTCGACTTCCCCAACAACAGGCAAGGGCCAGGCGTATCCCGCCTCGTTGGTCAAGGCCGCTTCATGTTCTATCCCTTTGCCCATAGCGCCCGAGTCCCACTTCCCATCGTTACAAACTGGAATAACAAGCCTCCGTTTGCTATCACACCCCCGATTCTCATAAAGCAGCTTGCTCCCGGCCACAGTTACGTTCTTAGCTCGGGGCCGTGCTATATTTCTCAAGAACAAAAGGGAATGGTGATGAGGAGCGGTATGATGTGCTCTGAGAACTCTATTTTGTCGTTCAAACAGAGCGACGAGAAGTGTCCTATGGGACTCTATCTGATCCTTTCCGAGCCGAATGGTCTCAATTAGTAGGGTTAGGATAGACCAAAGGGCAGCTCCTGGGGTGGAATATAATAGAGACCATGACTACCGTATCATTTAGTTCCTATTATCTGGGAAGAGGGGCTTTTTGTAATATCTGGCGTCTGGATGCAGGGTTTTGGTGGGCATTATAGAGGTCGAAGGCTAATCGATTCCAAAGCACGTTTAATGAGATATCAATCCTTCAATTCGCCATATGCACACGCTTCTTTGGCTCGATATTCGTTTTATTTCAACGTGGATGGACCCTATAGTTGTTCTAGACCTAGCTTGGAAGTTCAGATGCTCTAGTGCTACTATAGCAGGCAATTCGCATAGCGTGATACTGAGGGCGGGGCTCTATCGATAGTGAGTCACGCTAGTGGCGGGGATTTGGAGGAGTCAACTCTAGAAAATCGTTCCCCGCCACGGTCATTTCTCATCAACACCAAAAATGTCTATTGACTTCCCTCGCGAGGAGGAGCGCGTGCTTGCGCGATGGAAGGAGATCGACGCTTTCCTGAGGCAAGTTGAGCTGGTAAGTGGTTGCGAATTCTTGCGCCCTTTTCCAACATACTTCACGTCCCTCTGTCGGCTTATCTGTTGTGATCTTGTCTTGTTACAGCTACGTTGAATAGCCTGTGACAGGCATATCTGGTGTTTTTGGTACTAATAGTACCCAGTCTAAAGGCAAAGAACCATACACCTTCTACGATGGACCGCCGTTCGCGACCGGATTGCCTCATTATGGCCATCTCTTAGCGTCCACCATCAAGGACATTATTCCGCGTTACTGGTCCATGAAGGGTCGTTACGTTGAGCGGAGATTTGGCTGGGATACCCACGGTGTTCCGATCGAGTATGAAATCGACAAGGAATTGGGCATGTCTGGACGTGATGCTGTGCGCGAAATTGGAATTGCAAAGTACAACGAAAAGTGCCGCGCCATTGTCATGAGATATGCGACCGAATGGAGATCTACCATCGACCGTCTTGGGCGCTGGATCGACTTCGACAACGACTACAAGACCATGGATACCAACTTCATGGAATCCGAGTGGTGGGTGTTCAAGCGCCTCTTCGATAAGGGCGCTGTATACCGTGGGTACAAGGTCATGCCCTACAGTACAGCGTTGGCGACGCCTCTCAGTAACTTTGAGGCTTCCCAAAATTACAAAGATGTCCAAGACCCAGCAGTCGTTGTCACATTCCCACTTGTCAACGACCCAAACACATGCTTATTGGCATGGTAAGTATTTCTGCTCGCACTCTGCTTGTCAATTTCCATACATTGGGAACCCCAGTTTGCTTCGCGGGTATGTGCTAATATGGTTACAACAGGACCACCACTCCATGGACACTGCCATCCAACACTGGTCTCTGCGCACACCCCGACTTTGAATACGTAAAGATCCTCGATGAAGCATCCGGCAAACACTACGTTCTCCTCGAATCCCTGCTACGTACACTCTATAAGGACCCCAAGAAGGCCAAGTTCAAGATTGTTGAAAAGCTCAAGGGCAAGGACATGCTAGGCTGGAAGTACGAGCCCCTCTTTGACTATCTGTACGATGAGTTCAAGGACTATGGCTTCAAGGTCTTGAACGACACCTATGTTACAGCCGATAGTGGTGTGGGTATCGTCCACCAGGCGCCCGCATACGGAGAGGACGATTACCGCGTCGCACTCGCCCACGGAGTCATTTCCGATACCAGAGTACCACCAAATCCCGTCGATGACCAAGGTTGCTTCACTGCAGTTGTTCGTGACTTTGAGGGCCAGCATGTCAAGGCAGCAGACAAGGGCATCATCAAGCATCTGAAAGGCACTGGACGCTTGATCGTAGACTCACAGCTTCTCCATAGCTATCCTTTCTGCTGGCGGTCTGATACTCCCCTGATCTACCGAACTGTTCCCTCGTGGTTTATCAAGATCCAGGACATTGTTCCACAGATGCTGGAGAACATTGCAGGCTCACACTGGGTTCCTTCATTCGTCAAGGAGAAGCGCTTCGCCAACTGGATCTCCAACTCACCTGATTGGGCAGTTTCAAGAAACCGTTTCTGGGGTACTCCACTCCCGATCTGGGTCAGCGATGACGGAAAAGAGCTTGTGTGTGTTGGCAGCGTAGAGGAGCTGAAGAAGCTTAGCGGATACGAGGGTGAACTCACCGACATTCACCGTGACAAGATTGACCACATTACCATTCCCAGCAAAGAAGGCAGGGGTACGCTCAAGAGAACCAACGAAGTCTTTGATTGCTGGTTCGAGTCTGGCTCTATGCCCTACGCTAGCGCGCACTACCCATTCGAGAACGTGGAGCAATTCGAAAAGTCTTTCCCCGGAGACTTTATTGCAGAGGGTCTTGATCAAACTCGCGGTTGGTTCTACACTCTTACAGTCTTGGGCACGCATCTTTTCGGCAAACTGCCTTTCAAGAACTGTGTTGTCAACGGAATCGTACTTGCAGAGGACGGCAAGAAGATGTCAAAACGTCTAAAGAACTACCCCGACCCCAATCTTATCATGGACAACTATGGTTCTGATGCTCTGCGATTGTATCTCATCAATTCACCTGTCGTCCGCGCCGAGACACTTCGCTTCAAGGAGGCGGGTGTCAAGGAAATCGTTTCCAAGGTGTTGCTACCTCTATGGAACAGCTACCAGTTCTTCGAGCAGCAAGTATCGCTCCTGAAGAAGGTCGCTGATCTTGACTTTATGTTCGACCCAGCGGCTGAGAAGACAAATTCAAACGTGCTGGATAGGTGGATCTTGGCTTCCTGCCAATCGTTGTTGAAATTTGTCAACGAAGAGATGGCCGCATACAGACTGTACACTGTCGTCCCGCGATTACTCGAGCTTATTGACAACACGACCAACTGGTACATTCGCTTCAACCGTCGCCGACTGAAGGGTGAGTACGGTCTAGAGGACACAAAGCACGCACTCAACACACTCTTCGAAGTCCTCTACACACTCTGCCGTGGACTCGCACCTTTCACACCATTCATTACGGACAATATCTACCTGCGATTGTTGCCGCACATCCCTAAGGAGTTGCACGCAGAGGACAACCGTAGTGTACACTTCCTGCCATTCCCAGAGGTCCGTGAGGAGCTGTTCGATGAAGCTGTTGAGCGTCAAGTCAAGCGCATGCAGTCGGTCATTGAACTTGGACGTATCTGCAGAGATCGCGCGAATAAGGGCCTCAAGATCCCACTCAAGACGCTGGTAGTCATCCACCCAGAGCAACAATATCTTGACGACATCAAGTCGCTCGAGACCTACATTTTGGAGGAACTGAACGTGCGAGAAATTGTGCTGTCAAGCGACGAGGAGAAGTATAATGTGCAATACTCTGCGACAGCCGACTTCTCTGTTCTTGGCAAGAAGCTTAAGAAGGACGCCGTCAAGGTCAAGAAGGCTCTGCCAAATCTCAAGAGCCAGGAAATTAAGGATTACCTGAAGAGCGGCGAGATTGTGGTTGATGGTATCAAGCTTGAGGCCGAAGACTTGATGGTCAAGCGTGGCCTCGCACAGGACTCTAGCAACAAAGACCAAGAGTTCAACACTGACAATGACGTCCTCATTATTCTCGACGTGGCGTCGTATCCTGAGCTTGAGCAGGAGGGTCTTGCACGAGAGGTCATTCGCCGTGTCCAAGATCTGCGCAAGAAGGCTGGACTAGTGCCTACTGACGATGTGGGTATGGAATACCGAGTCTTGAGCGATCCTGACGGAGTGGGCCTGGAGAAGGCATTCGAGAACCAAGGACCACTGTTTGAGAAGGCTCTGAGGAGGAATGTTGACAAGCACATCATCACTGAACTTGATGGCAAGATACCCGAAAACAGCAACGAGGAGGTGATTGCAGAAGAGGAGCAAGAGCTTCACAAGGCAACGTTCATGCTGCGGTTGGTTAAGCTGTGAGGAGTATGCAATACTACTATGTCTCCAGCGGATGGATTCGTGGATTGTTTAGTGTGCCCATAATAAGGGCTTTGATGGCATGACAGTGTAACGTAGATAGCCGAAGAAATGACAAAAATAACTTTCAGTAAAATGCAAGAGAGATTGTGAACTTTGTATGTTACCAAGGATATTTACCAGCCCATGACTTCTACCGTTGCTTGTACGCCTTCTGAACCAATCGTTAGCTATATGCGAATGACTCGGCGACCAGATATAATCTTACAAGATAGCACTCTTTTAGTTTCATGAATTCGTTGATGCACATGTCTTTGCGCACGTTATTGTAGTCTGCAAGAATACATTTGCCATATAATGAACTCTAAAGAATGTTAGGATATGACAAAGAATATACAGTGCAAGGGCCTAGAAGTGGGGGATGAAGTGGCGCACATACTTCTTTTGAGCATTTTGCAGCCGCAGTGGCGAGTTTGTCGATAGGGCGAGTTCTTCCAGGCATTTTGATGTGAGTAACAGATGACAATGTCAAATGGGTGATGTCGTGAGGCGTTGCGAATGTTTCTTCCATGTGTCGATGAGGTCAATGGCAGGGTCCACTGCACTAGACTCTTGGCACTGTCGCTGTGTGAACGGGCGACCAACCACCCGCACAACAAAGCGCGTTGCTCTCACACAGGCGGGCGCAGCGGGTTACCCCGTCACCCATGCATCGATACGTTTTGTAATGCTTAGTCGCTGCGCGCAATCCTTCCCTTTGACGCGACTACACCGCATACCACTTTTTGGTTGCTCGCACACTTCCCGGGCTCAGCAGCTACTTCCATGTTGTCGCGAACGCGCCGGAGACGACCGAGTCGCGTGCACGAATGCTACCCCCCATGACACAAAATGGACGTGACGCGAAGGACCTGACCAGGGATGAATTGCCTAACGAAGGTATTGCTTGCGCCCTTTATCGCATTGATTCTGTTCTCCGTACTGATATTCTTGTAGTCGTCGAAACTCTATACGACGTTATATACCAGGCACATCATTCGCAGGATAAGACGTCGCGCGCCCTCTTTGATGCATGTGACAAACATGTCGAGGACAACCGTCTAGAACCCAGGGATAGCGCTATCCTATACCGCTTTCTAGCCCACATACAGCACGAGGACCGAGAAGGGGAGGATCTCTTAAGTCGCTTCCAGCGCGTGCTCAGAGACTATTTTGACATCACTGTGGGGTATGGCGACGAGGGCGACGACATTGAACCCGCAGCTGGGTTCGATGCGACACAGAGAGGAACACAGGCAGGGCCAGGACGGTTGCCGAGGACAACAAGCTTCGATTCATTCCTTGATGTGACCGCTGACAAGGTTGCTGGGACTGATCATGGTGACCTTGCTCTACGCCCCAACAGACAATCTCAGCAACACGCTCCGAATGGCTATGGTGGCAGACCTAACAGGCAGCGTGCTACGTCAGACACAGAGGCGCATTCGTATCACCAAGCTGGACTTCCCATTCGCAATAGAGTGAATGAAATTGCGCCTCAACGCGCTACTTCGGGTCCACAACGACCGCCTCACAAGCGTAGCGCTTCTGTATCGAGTCGTGGCAGTTTGCAGATTAGAAGAGGTGGACAACCGTTGACGTACAAGCCCATCGACGATGCGGATCAAGACAGTTCCACCGACCACACCACCAGTCTTGATCTTTCCAATATCCAAATACCTGGGGTAAATGCGCCAATACCTAATGAACCTTACCGACCTGCGCGCCAACAACCACAACCGCAGCGACCATATGTTTTCGAGCCGTTCAGACCCTCCGATACGCAATTGTTAGACAATGCGGAAACCCTTGAACAACAGCGACTTCATCGGGTGACAAGAGAATGCATATGGACATGGCACCGTCGGACGCAAGATCGTTTGAACATGCGAGAGGATATGGAAAGGGATGCAGCAGCATTTGAACGTCGTACTCTGCTCAAAGCCTCTCTTTTGCAGCTGCGGGACACAGCGCTTGTAAGGCGATCCAGTAGAGAAACAAATAGCTTTTTCGAACGACTAGAAGCCAGAGCAGACAAGGCTCGCAGTTTGTTTCTGCTTACAAAGGCCTTTACACACTGGGCGAAATGTGCCGAAGAGGAGGTCCAGCGCACGTCGGTTGCGCGCCGGCACATTCTGCGCACAAAGTTTTTCAATGGATGGCGCGAAATCACAGCAGTCAACGAGCTCAAGATTCAACATTTCGCTTTGGCAAAATTCCTCTCTATATGGCGCGCACGCACCGCTGCGATACGAAGCACTGAACAACTTGCGGTTTCGTACTACGAAGACAAGATCGTCCGGCGAACATGGGATACCTTGGTCAAAGAGTACCTTAGTAGAGGTGCATCAAACTGGCATGATACACAAATAGCCCGGACTACACTGTTGAAGTGGCGTGAGATAACTGAGATTATGAAAGAGAGAGAAATGTGGGCTACTGATCGACGGAACGGAATAGTATTGCAGAGGACGTTCAAAGCGTGGCAGCAGAAATCGGATGCTGCTCAAGCCCTCCAATCTCAAGCAGATGACTTCCGGAAAGCCAGCCTGCTCCGAATGGCTTTGCATATGATGCAGAAACAAGCACAGCTCGAACCCAAACTTCGCCAATTCCAAAAACATTCCAATACTCGCTTGCTTCGCTCAACTTTCGAGAATTGGCGTAAGAACGCTAAATTATCACGCCGGGCTCGTATCATCGATCGCATGCGACTTTTGCGTAATACCTACACGACCTGGAATGACAAACTGCGTATCAAAGCACTTGAAGAGCGTATCAACGACCGCATTCTCGTTGAATGTCTGTACAAGTGGGCTCTTGCGTCTCGAGTATCTCTTTTTCAGCGTGTTCACGATCGACAACTCAAGGAGACAGTTTTCTTATCTTGGGTCACAAAGACAAATCAGCGTGCCAACACTCTCGACGCTGCTGAAAGGCGATTCGCTCAGTTCAAGCGTGCCCAGCTGTTGCGGACATGCTTGCGCAAGATGGAAGCTATCACTACGGAGAGAAGAGCTGAACAGTTTGCGGTAACAGCCGAGTATCAACAAAGGTTGAAGGAACGCATCTTTGCCAAACTCAAAGAAAGACAAGCGCATTTCCAGCAGCTGAACCAATGGTCGGCAGATGCACGCTACTACGTGCTTTGTAAACATACCCTGAAGACCTGGAGCGAAGCTACGCAACTTGCGCGTCGCAACCGCCGGCGCGACACATACTCTCAGGTCCGTAGAACGGTAAAGACAAATCTCGTGCGAAGGGTGTTTGGACATTGGAGAGACAAAGCAAGCCACATTGTAGGATTGAACCAAAGAGCAATCGATATGCTGGAGAACCGCACCATACAATCCAGTGCAGAAATCATTCATCGATGGCATGACCGCACGCTCATCCTTCGCCAACAAGATGCTCAGGCCACCAACCTACATGCCTTCAGAATTACCTCCGCTTGTTTGGCCACATGGGCGCAACGCATGGATGACATTCGTATGCTAGAAGGTCAAGCCATTGCTCTTCGACAAGAAAGTACTGAGATTATGGCTGCAGGCGCCCTCAAGAAGATGGGCTGGCGTCTCTGGAACATCCAGAGACAGGAGGATAACGCAAAAGCGTTATTTAACCGGAACTTTGAAAAGCATGTGAGAGCTATGGTTCGCTTTTGGGCGGAGCGTGCTACAGAGCGATTTGCCGAACGGTCTGCAAGCCCGACGCCTAACAAACCGAGAGCGCGGAGAGTCGATGATAGAGACCGTGATGATGGCAGGGGACGTGGCGACGGTGCGGTCAACACTGAGGGCAACAGAAACCATGGGAAACAGGGAGATTTGGAGCCATCTGGTGATGAAACCCAGTATCTGGAGGCTTGGACAGCTTTTGACCAGGATGCTTTGGATCTGAACAACGACCTTGATCTCTCCCTTTCTCTCACACCAGAGCAGCCTCCACGACACCCCATCCTGACACCTAACCCGTACACTCAGGCACCTACACCATCCTCTACGCGTCCGCTAAATTCCATACTCCGCCGCCCAAATACGTACCCACAACCGGATTCCGCACTGCGTCCTCCCCCGGCGACCATCATTGAGGACGACGAGTCAGATCTCGATTTTGGAGATGGCCCTCAATCAACTTTCTGGACAGGAACCCCTATGCCACCAACAGCAAGCAAGCCCGGATACCTGAAAACACCATCAAAACGCAGTCTAGCCCGCGCCAAGCACCCTGAACTCCCCGCTAGCCCCGAGAAGCAGCGTGCTTTCAGTCCTGTACGGCGACCTTTGGCTTCAATACTCGAACGAGAAAGAACATCACGATTAGGTACTATGAGTGCCCCGCCTGTGCAAAGCTCAAGACCTAGTAGTTTTGGTGGCATAGGCGGCGTGACGAGTTTTGAGAGGAGGTTGAGAGAAGGTGGATTTGGAGGGAGCGTTGCTGCTGGTAGTAGTGGTGCAGCGAGAGGGGGGAGGATAAGAGGTGGTGCGAGACCCAGAGTGGGATTTGGAGATGTTAGCCAGATGGGTTGATTGATTCTCTTTGGCCTTTTTTTTCAAATCAAAATGGGCTTTGGATATTGAGCGGAACATCTAGTGTTGATGGAAGAACATAGTAGAGTTTGCATTGCGTGCGGCGTCTGCGTAGTATTATAGCGCCTGCTTGTGTTTTGTGTATGTCAGGATACCCCCCATGACTTTTATTTTTCGCTCTTCAGAAAAGTTATTGTGAGTACATAGTAGAGGACAATGAATATGCATGATACGATTTTCATCAAAAGCACTTCGGAATGATGTTATAGCGAGACTTGTGGATTTACACGAAACTACCTTACGCCCGATGCCCGTTTTGTTTTTGCCACGATCCGATCTTCGGTGTCGTGTGATGATAGTAGAGTACATAGTAGGATTAGTGCGGAGACCCCGCAATCTACTTTTCTCTCCATGTTACACTATCCACTGTGGAACCTGCATCGCCGTTTCTCCGAGTATAACGCCGTTTCTTACTCTTACGTGCTGTGCATACCTGTCTTATGTATTTACTGATGCTTATCCGAAATTCCATCTGTGACGTCGTTTTTTAAAATCTAACAGAAGCAACAAGTTAG